GCTGTCTGTCCGAAGAAGTTTGTCAGCACTCTTGCGCCTTCATTCTTTCCTAGTTTTTAATCAAACTTCACATTATTGTAAAGAATTTAAATATCTTGGACAATTTCAAGGTAATCGGGGCAAGACAAGGTCACTATTACTATTTTAGAAAATCTTTGTCAGCACTCTAGTGCCTCATTCTTTCATGGATTTTAGTCAAACTTCACATTATTGTAAAAAAATTCAATATATTGAACAAGTTCAAGTTTCAAGGTCCTCGGATCTAGGTTGAGGTCACTGTTGCATCTTAATAGATTGCGGGGGCCGGTAGGGGACATGTATTGCTTCAGCAATACTCAGTATGCTTGTTTTAGATCACTTTTAAGGTTACACGTGTGAGATTTATACCAGGTGAGCGATGCAGGCCCATTGGGCCTCTTGTTTAATAATGTTGTGGATAAAATGAACCCCTTTGTGTACCATGTAGTATTGAAGATAACTTTTCGATCTATTTTTATTTCACTGTTAAACCATATTGGATTTTCTCTAATATTTGTTTTGTATATTTTGCTTGCATTGATAGTTTTATACCAGGCATCTAAAACATCTTTCCAAAATACGTTTTTACATTTTTTTTTATTTCTTTCACTTTCTCAATTCCAATATTTGCTAATTTCTGTATATCAAATAACGATTCCACAATAATACCCCAATTTCCGAGTTTGCTATATATCCTTTCTGATCCATGTTGCTTTAAGAGCAGTTATGAAAGACTTTATATGCATCATTTTAGGCCCCCTTTCTTCATAGTTTTTTTTTTATAATTATATCCCTTTTTTCCTGATCTGGTTTACCATTCCATAGAAAATTGTACAATGTATTGTTAATTTGTTTAATATATAAGTCATCAGGATTGGAAAGCGATATAAACAAATGATTGAACTGAGATATTAGTAGAGTTTTGATAACAACTGGTTTACCTATTGGTGTAAGTATTCTTTTGTTCAAGACAGATATTAAAGACTTCAGTTTTGCAAGCTTTTTGTCAAAATTCAGTTCTGTGTAGGTCTACATCATATTCTATGCCTAATAGGGTGAAGCGTGTACTTCCCCATTTTAAGTCAAGATTTGTAGTAAAAGTGTTTTCACTGTGCTGCCAATTCATACTACTTGGGTCTTGGAGATGTCATTTTTAGTCCAGAAATACTAGCAAAGTAGTTAAGAGCTTTTAATGTTTCATCTAAAGATCTGTTTGAACCCTCTAGAATAACAGATGTGTCATCAGCAAATTGTGATAAGGGGATTCCTTTTCCCTGATAAGTATTCCTGTGATATTTATATTATTTTTCAAAATCATTGATAGAATTTCAGCACATAAAATGAAAATATATGAAGATATCGGATCCCCCTGACGACAGTCCCGTTCTATATTGAGAAATTTTGATACATATTTCCCTATATTTACTGCTGAGTGTGTATTATTCTGAAAAAGTTTTATCCATTTGATAATGTTCGGCCCAAATTTAAAATACTTTCAAGTTTTATTGATAGACACAGAGTCGAACGCTTTTTCAAAATCAATTAAAAGTAATAGTCCAGGTATAATTTTATCTTCTATATACTGCATAACATCATAAATCAAGCATGTGTTTCTCCTATATATCTACCAGGAATAAAGCCAGTTTGGGTATTACTGATTAATTTACTTATAACATTTTTGAATGCACCAGCTATTTGCACCAGATGCTAATTTATAGATGTTATTTAGAAGTGTTATCAGTCTCAAATTATTTAATTTATTACGAGGTTTATTAACTTCTGGAATGCAAGTTTTAATTCCCTGTTTTTGTGTTACTGAAAGTTGGGATATACTATAATTGTAATTTAGTGATCTTATAATAAATGGTCCTAATTGCTTCCAAAATATTTTTAAAAATTCAACTGTAAAACCATCGGAACCAGGGCTTTTGCTGTTTTTCATTTTTAAAAGTGTTAATTCATTTATAGTAAGTGGGCCTTCTATATTTAATGATTCATTGGCAGATAGTTTGGTTACAGTTTATGATTCTAGAAGTAATTCAAGATTAACATTTTTAAGTGAATTGCGTTTTTTGTATAAGGTTCTGTAGTAGTTTTCAGTTTCTTTTAAAATTTCAGTTTGGTCAGATATTATTGTCCCATCATTTTTGGTTATATTTGGAATAATTTTACTAGTTTAGTTACGAAATTCTAAATTACAAGTAATTGGTTGGTTTCTCCACCTACCCTATCCATTTTGCCCTTGAGCGTATCATATTTCCTGTAATTTTGTGCTTTCTTATTTCTTCTAATTCCTGTTTTTTATCATCTAACTCATTTAAAAATGTGTTGTTAGGTCCGAACAGGGGTGGATCTTGACTCTGTTACATAATGAGACTTTATGTGAGCCTTTTTTTATCTCTTTGGGGTAAATTTTACTTGAATCCTTTTTACAGTGTTTTTTTTGTTAAAATTTAAAATAAAGCTGTGAAGATATGTATATATATTTAAAAATTGTATAAAAGAAATGGAATGTATGAGAGAAATATAACAAATTTACACGAATCACAGTATATTGTATGGATGTACAAGGCAAGAAAAAAGAGGGCGGGGGTCAAGTCTCTTATGAAAAGTAGAAGATTTTATTTGTTTTATTTTATTTCCAAATTGAATAGAACTACCCCGGTACATGAATCATAAGACATGTCTTTCCGACAAAATTTACAGCAAAAAATCCCTGTAGTATTTATTCAACTCAAACATTTCTCCTTTGTACAAGGCACATAACAATTAAGATAGATAATTTGATTGTTACCGGATTAACAGGATCGGCTACGCTTTAAGCGTATGTACAATAGTTGTTATATATGTACCGAAATGATTTTTGTGGACAACTCATACACATTTTACATCTTTGTTTGCATACACTTCACTGGTCATTTGTCTGATAAAGGTGACAGTGTAGAAAATGTTATTGGTTGTGTAAAAAGATCTTCTCATAATCCATACTTACCAACCCGAAGAAAATGTTTAGAAATATTCCACTTTGTTTCAGAAAAAATCGATGTCTGTGTGTATAAGGTGGCAGAGTTCAGTAGAAATGGCTTGACCCTAAAAATATAGGGCATGTCTCGAATAAACATGGATAGCGGATTCATCCTGCACAACACACCTACATATATATATAAATTTATAAACTACATTTTGAATGCGTGTTTTTCAGAAGAATGATTTTTTTTTCAAAAAGTGATTTCCCCAGATTTGGGACTTGTGAAAACCATGGTTACCACATCAAAAAACACTAAAATATGCAAAAACTCATGATCTTTAACCCAAAATTTGACCCCCGCAAGTAGAATTGTTTTTCTTAAAACCTGTCTGAAATTAAATATCGCCTACTCGGTAACAGAAATACTCACGTTTTAGCATAGGTCATTCCGGTGGATTTTTCACAATATTTACACATGTGCTGAGTACGAAAATAGACTACATGAAGAGCTAGCTTTTGTTGTGTAGACACAGATTTGTAAAGGTAGCAGTCTACAGTAGAGGGTTGTGGCCATGGGTGATATTTTTGTTAAATGGCTAACCCCTGTATAATGATATGTAAAAAAAAATATAAAAATAAAACTGTACTGAAATTGGTATAAGCATGATGAAGTGGGCTATGTGAGCTTCACATTTGTAAAAAGAAAATTAAAAAAATTTGGTTCGAGAACAAAATTTTTGCCATAATCCGAAAGGGTGCCTAAACATGAAAAAGTATGAAGCCCACATAGTCCACTTCATCATGTATATGCCAATCTTAGTGCTGATTTTTTTTTTTTTTTTAATTTTGATACATGTTAT